GTCAAGCAGGACAAGCATATGCTGCAGGCGTCAACGAACGCATCGAATGCCCTTCGTCGCTTCAACCCGACCCTTGCTCCCATTGGAATGCGACCCGAAAAATCGAAGAGACGCAGCTAGGGAAAATAGAGGAGAAGCGAAATGAAATACCGTACTTTTTCAGCAGACAACGGCAGCAACCTTGGCGAAGCAGAACGGAAAGTTATTGCTGGTTTTGAGACCAAGACTGGAGGAAGTCTGAACCCTCCCCGTTCTTGCAGATTTCTTTCGTGTGCTGTCGCTCATGAAAGCTTACGAAACTTTTGACAGGTTCACGGCCAGTTGGCGCCAAATCGCGGTTAAACGACAGAATGGTGCAAAATTCCCGCAAGAGACTAACCTATGTACGTCGTATGTGCCCCTAAATTTCTTAGAATTTTTGAAAATTTTACGTCTGCCTTTCATACGAACCCTGTCTTTTTTGGTCACACTTTTGGGGACAAACATGTGAGTAGTACTACAGTATATATAAACTTGGTGAAAGAAGTAAATATTTTAAATTACATCTTGAAAAGTTTTCGTTGATTCAGGAATTGAGCTTTTTTACATGCGCATGCAATTTTTGGCGAAGATAATCAAAATTTACTCGGCAATATTTCCAAGCTTTCGCCTCAAACCTGTCCAAAGCATACACCCCTTGGTTTTATTGCCAAAAGATTCAGCATATCCATTTTCAAGCCCATTTAAAGTCGCATTCAAACACGGAAGGCCCCATTCTTCCATCAAAAATTTTAAAAATTTTCAGTTCATTTGAAAAAATTTAGATTATTTTTGAGTGAGTGTGGGCATTCCAAATCCTTCAAAGCAGGTGAGTTCAATCCAAAAGATGACCGTCAAGAGCAATTTGTAAATCTGCATCGTGGTATTTGCACGACGATTAGCACGACGCTAAAAAAAAAAAATTTAACTCAGCATTTCTGAAAATTCTAATTGAATTAATAATATTTTCTGACAATTATTTCTGGAGCAGTTGTTGAAGATACCCCGAAATTAATGTCAAATTTAATTTAATTTAATAATCTTCTCAAATGTCCCAGCAGGGAGTTTTCAGTTCAACAGTGGCAGTATGGTCATTACAAAAATAGTCTCATGGATGCATGAATAAGAGCTGTTTGACCGCTTTTTAGAACGATATTTTTCATTCAACTTCCGGGATGCAAGTTGACGGACACGTATTTTCAATTAGTTCGTGCATTTATGGAAGAAAAAATGTCAAAAAACCCCCGAAATATTGGTTGGGAGAAACACATTTCCGACAAAGCAGAGGATATATATTATTTTTTAATGCCCTCAATTAAATTTTACTGTATACCGTATATTTACTTCAGTGAACGCGGATTTTCTCTCGGATCTCTCATCCGTCGTTTTAGCTGTGAAGATTCGCCGTTTTGAAATCATCATTGTGCGGAAGTCTCCGTATTCTTCACCCATCAGCACATCCTGCAAATTCAGGTGCTCTACTGTGCATCACTGTCCATCGCACCTCCAGAATGTGATTATTCGTCCTTCTTCAAACTTCGATAATATAAAAAATTCTTTCTAACTTCCTGTTGATCCTGTTTTTAGGGAGCACTCGGAAAATCTTTCGAGAAACCTTCAAATCTAGTTCGGCGAAGTTCTCGAATGGGGACGAAATGAAAAGAAAATATTAGCAGAAAAAAACTGCTCTAATTTACCACCCACGTCGTCGACACTTGAGGTGTAAATGGAAAAAAAAAAGACGGGAAAAAAACAAGTAAGAAGACTCGCGTCAGAACTGGGCGAAATCCGAGCAATCATGCTGTTTACTCTTCGCCTTTGGATCGTTTGGGGAGGAGCAGAGGTTACTGGCTAATTTTTCATCTTCCCACCGAGCAGAAAAACAAGCCCGAGGAGGCAACCTGCGTGTTGTCAGCTTCGCGTCATTCCCCGAGATCGCCTCACTGCCAGCGCCGACCAAATAAACACCTGTCGTGATTTCACGTTCGAATGTTAATCGACGAGAAATATAGTCTGAGATGCTCCAAAAATGTATTCCCGTCGCACCAAGATAGCCCCCCCCCCTTTTTTTTCATTTACCTGGATTTAAATTCTTTGCGAAATTTCCAATCCCAGCAAACGCGAACTAGTACAGCAGGGTTCGGTCAAGGAAGTGGATTTTGCAGAGATGAATTGAGCTCACAAATATGGAAGTCGGACATTGGAATGCAGCTCATCAATTTTGAAACAAGAGAGTATCGGCATGTTCCGGAAAAGTGTTTTGTTTTTAAGCTGTACATTTTTTTGCACGAGAATGAAAACTTACAAGCAAATTCGTTCACGAATGATTTTTTCGCTGTGCTGACAATACTTCATGTACACAGAAAAATAAAGTCGAGAGTTCGTGGTGTAAAATAAATGTCTGACGCTTAAAGAAATGATAAAATATTGTAATGCAGAACCTTATCGGCAAATTTGATGCGCAAAAATAAGATGTATTTCTTCTCGCTTATCAGGTGATATGTTCCGAATCCTTCTTCTTTTATTAGCTTGCTTCCATGGCAGGGCATTTTCTTCTGTATGACCATCCACTTTTATTCGAATTTATATATTTTTTAAATGTGCTCAACTTTTTTCGCTCCCTTGAATGATCAAATACTCTCATTTCATCCTACATTTCGAAATTGACTGTACATTTTCTTCGTTTTTGTCGCGACTCCGGCGGCGATGTCTTCTAAATCTGGTCATATTGTTTTCAAGCACAGTACTGTATTACCGTATATTATAGTGGATTTGTTGAAATGTTCCTTGCTAGGAGGACATCTGAAAGTGACTTCTTATCTTTTCCAGAAATCCCATGAGAACAGCAGATTTCCAGGCTCATCCAAATTCAGTCAGGAGGAAACAACAAACAAGTATGGTGACCTATCCTACTTTAATTTGAACCACCCACGATTACAATGCTTCGAAATGTATGCGGAAATTCATCAAGAGTTCTGATCAGCATAAATACGAAAAGAATTATAAAAAAAAATACTGCACCTTAAATCCTTTTCACAGTTCAAAAGCTTTTTGAGCTCTGTGTATATAGGATAATTCATGAAGACTGTATCAATGGAAATTAGCATCCTGAAAAATGCTTCGAGTATTCAATTAATCGAGCAAAGAAATGTGGTCATTGGCCGCGATGTTTGAACTTCGGGTGCAAAACTGTTGCATGCATGCATAATTTCGCAGATCTTAACTTTTTAGCCGGCAGCCAGGATAAATGAGAGAAAAAAAAAGGTTTGAAAATCTTTTTTTTTCCTCCGCCCGGATGCAAGAATACATTTGAGACGTTGTCTAGTTTCAGCGGTCATTCGTTTCCCAGCCTCAAATGTTCCATGTACTCCTATATCTCAAACCGTTTTCCTCTCATTGGTACCATAGCAGCACCCTTCCTTTACATTCCCCATTCGCGACAGGAAATCCTGTACGGATGTCCATCGTCGGGTGAACCTGTGCAAACATCAGAGAGCCCATTGGAAGGACAATTTTGTCTCTCTGGAGAACTAGGGGACGGAGGAAGGATAGATGGATTGATTTAAAAAAAAAAGAAGACTAAATGGTGTTCTTCCTTCGAGGGCAAACTAATTCATCACTTAACGCACTCCTGCTCAACATACTTCATCACTGTTGTCTTCTAGCTTCGCACCTCGAGTTTTCAGCGGATGGGCTGCTGGTGTCCTCTCCCATTGACAGTGTCTTCGTTCCAACGTTCCCTATCGAGTTACTGGTACAAAATCCGGGAAGTTGTACATGTTAACCGAGGTGTTTTTGGGCGTCAACCATTAGTTTACCCTTCTCCCACGCGAGAAAGGAGGGAAAAATTCGAGCTCGGGAGAAGGATCAGTTACACGACATGTTCGAACGCGTTCAAGCTGAAAGACACATGAACAGCAAAAAAGTGAGAACCCAACCTTCGGACGAAACTGGTTCACATATTCCGTCCGGATGACGTTGTGCCCGGAAGTTGAAGGGCTTCTCCGGTAGTGGGTAAAAGATCGCTTGACAATATGTGGAAGGAGAAGACGGCACATGGACAAGCATACAATTCAATTTAATCCCTTTCCAGCAAAATTTTACTAAAGGTTAGGACCGTCCGTACAAATTCTTCACTCTACTTACACGTGTGGCCATGATTCTGTGACCACACAGTACAGTACTGTACACTTAAATATGGAATTATCGAATAACGTTTCCCGATGCTGGAAAATTGATGTAAAAAAGAAGAAAATTTGTTCTTGATGTATGAAACGCAGAAAACATGGAATTGAAGAAAGTAACGTGTTTACTAGAGTACGACGAACAGTTTTCCTTTTCAAACTCGAGTGGAGGGGACGAGGGGTGAATGAGGGGGCACATCACGTGGGTTCACAATATTTCAAAAATTTCAAGTTTACGTGTTCATAATCCGTGATCCTCATTCTCAACAAATTTCACCGAATTACTTTCAATGGCAACAATGGAAAAATAATTCAATTCACATCAGTGTTCTGATTTTTGTGAATTTAATTTTCAAAACTAGCCCTCTTTTGATCACTGAACGTTTTGTTATCTGGGACAGGATTTTAGGCAAATTTCGGGACCAGAAAACAAAGTGCGTGTCTTACTCAATAGTACATAAGCAAATACAGTTACGGTATTCGACCTTTGTTGAGGAAGAGAAGTGACAAACCTTATACTTCAGAACGAACTAAGCGATACTTCGTTATTGGACGCATTTCATTCTTGTTGACTCCACCATCTATTGCCCAATAACTCAATTCAACTGACTCGCACACCGAAAGCAGTCTTTTGAGTGAGATGTGAATGCGCACGAGTTGAGCTACTCCGCTCCAGAGGCTCGGGGAATTTCCGGCATCAATATCCTCAACGAATTGAAAAATAGGTGCTTAATGTAAAAAATCATGAAATAGCCACACAAAAACGCACTAAATCTAAAAGAAGTGTGCTCAACGAAATCATGAATACCATCAAAGCTTATATCTACACTTGAAAAATGATGCACAATTCCCTCAGCAATTCGAATTTTCGGAAGGAAATTCACTTCTCATGCCGTCTATTAACCGAAGCAGGGTCCGTGAGACAAGGTGCGAGTGGGAGAGAACCACGGAGGAGCGAACACTAAATCAAAAAAATTCTACCACATTTCTGTGACTGAAAAAAGGCAACTCGAACGAATCCCCGAACGATGCGGTCGCACACTATCTCTTCATGTTTTATATACACCCCATGAACAAAACAAAAAAAGTTACGAGTTCGAAGTATTTACAGGGTCTGACTGAGACGTCGCACGCGGGAGGCTGACACGAACACGGCAAGAAGAGAAGAGACCTTGGAATCAGTTTCCGTCTTGCGGGGAACCGACACAAAAGAAACGAGAAGTATCAACGCAAAACATACTCAACAACACTCCGGCCGCAACAAACGGATGGATTCAAAATACTCGTTGTATCAGAAGGAAAAAAAAGGGGCATCTTTTACCCGACTCCCGCAGCGCGCGATTCAACAAGTAAGCCAACTCGGTCTCCATATCAAAAATGATTCAGCGACACCGAGCAACAGACTGGGCAAGGGAGGTTCTTCTGTCTTTCGCGCACACGTTTTCTTTGACTGAATTCGCCCGCAGTACATCAAAATAATCACAACCCTCATGGAACCACGTCCCACGAAACAGAATTGCAGAGAGCCCGATACACCAGGAACCGATGTAAAATTGAGCGACGTGCCAACAGACAAATACCTAAAGGTTGAGCAAAACCATCCGGATAACCAAAAAACGCTCGACTCTGGGATACGGTATAACGACTGTCACGCGAAGGGAGGAAACAAAATCAAACCGCTGGGCAGCCACGACCCGAAAAATCACAAGAGAAAGCAACGGTAACCGACTTGCGTCAGTCAAAACAAACCAAACTGAGCAAGAAATTTGCCTAATCACCACTTAACATGAAAACCACGCCGCAAACAAACTACAATTCCCTAGTTCCAACTACTATCTTACAAAACGATGGACACTTCAAACGATCCTTACCCCAAGGAACTTCAACTCAAGACGGTTCCGTTTCATTGGTTGGGCAAAAAAAACAAAACATTCAACTCACGCGGCATCTCCGTTCTTCGCACTACGAATTCTTTTGTTTGGTTAAAATCACTCATTCATCTGCCAAAACATGTCAGCGCAAAAAAGGGAGAAAGCTCTTCATTCCTACATCCTTCACACCTTTCTTCTTCCATCAACAACTGATCCTCACAGCGACGAAAAGCGAAACTAATTCCTTTTCCCGGTTTTTTTTTCTTTTCTTCTTTTTTTTTTTGAATAGTCATGCGACACGGAGAATGCCTTCGCACTTAATTCGGCTACTCACGAGTACAACTCAACAACCCCGCGACGCCCATGCCGATATGTCACATCCACAAAATAAAAAGCTGGTTGCAAATCCCCACGCCGTGGATCCTCCGCCACAAATGAAACGCGACGAAAAAATAAACCCGCGACAAAAGCCAACATCCCGCTTTCACCCTTGCTTGAGGCACAAATTTCCCTCTGCTTCTCACAGCTGCTTCAAAGAAAAAAATGAGAGCCGTTCGGTCGTTTGTACAGAAAACGCATCGATCCTCACAACGGGAGAAAGAAAAAAAACTAGGCACGCGCCATTCTCAATGAATCTTTACGCAGAAATAAATTCGTTCACAAAATTTAACCCTGCACGGAGAGGGAACAAAATCACGATGGCCGTCACACGCGTCTCATAAAATGTATGTCTCTCAAGAGACTTTTTCTTGCGCCCGCCGCTAACAGATCGTAGAATTTCATTTTCCCGCAACTTCTTCTCGTTTCACTTTCGCAGCAATCCATGGCAACGGCCCCTTTTCACCCTCCCTTTCTTTTTTTTTTTCCAAGGAGAGGAATCGCCAATGCCTCTCAGCTAATCCAATCCTTCGTCTTGGCTCCTTCATTTCTTATCACAGGTGACGGGTGCACGACTGGAATTCTTGTCTCTCGTCGCCGACGATGACTTCAGGACTATCACAGGCTCGGACGCGTTCGAGGACACACTGCTCGTGCGCACCTGTAACGGTTAAACAGAGGCATCATGTATCAATCGCAGCGAATGTTTTCAACAGAGAAAAAGCTATCGGACAACTTACAAATTGTACTGGCGACACGAGCAGCCAAACCGAAATCTCGCATAAGTTTCACAAATGAAAATAAAATTATCGTGTATATAATACACGGTTTTGCGAACTGGCTTAACCGGACGAAGCAGAAATTTATAATCCTGAATAATCGCTCAGCATGATTCTAGTTCCTGGGTTTTCCACACCTTCGATTGCTCTATCGTCATACGGATTGCACAAATCAATTACCAACAAGCCCGGATTAATCCTCGAAACTGGATTGAAAGCTTTGATAGATTGATCTGTTCTTCCTCACGTTGGCATCGATACAACGATTAAGATGGAAATTCATATTACGGAAAGTTTAACTTCAAAAATCGATCAATTAAACGATATCATGCTATGAATAACTCGCATCATAAAGCCTTATACGCTCTTTTCACTCTTCGCAATATTGCTTACCCCATTGCTGGCAATAAATTATCAAAAGTACTCTCGAGAATCGCCGCAATCCTCAACATTGCCCGAAAAACAACCCAGGCACGATATTCGCAAAGAAAGACCATTTTCAATAATCGCGACAAAAAGTTTGACAGAACAACGGAAATCCAGGTAGGTTTGAAAATTTTCTGTCAGAGGTGGCATGTAACAAATCCCCACGATAGGTCCCAAAAAATCTCGTTTACCTTGACGTCACTGGAGTGTCGTTGCCGCGCGGGAATAGACTTCTTGCCGGCGGTCGCAGCGGCGACCGATCGCGGCATCGCACCACCACCTTGTGACTCAGACGTTCCGCGTTTCCGGCAGCCCATTGACGAAAGACTCGGCATCAGAGTAGCTGGTTGATTTACGCCCACAGCCGACTCCGAAAACAATCGCCGCCTGGCTGCCTCAACTGGGTCAAGAATCGCTTCTTCTTTTCCCTGATCCTTTCAAAATCGTTTAGAATTAAGGCTACGCTCAATGGAATGAAATACTGAAAATTTCTGCTTGAACCCGCGAACCTCATCGTAGAGACGCGAAAATAATTCGGGTCAAATCTCGGAATTTCCAGAAAGTAACACATCTCAGCGCAACAATCCCGTGGATATTCATAAAACTTTTGCCTTACAATCAAAAACCTATCCGCGTGATCGTCAGAATTAATTTAACAAGATCTCATCTACAAAACATGCGAATTGAGAGAAACACACGACACCAAGGAATTCGTCTTGCAGGAATTCATAATCAAAGACGCAATTTCGCTGTAGATTCAAAATTTCAGCAGTCATAGTAACTGAACCTGTACAAGCATTTTGTAACCGCCTTTTGTAAAAGACGCAATAATAAACGTTGACGAGTAATAACGAGGAAACAAAACTCACGATGGGTTCCCGGAAATCCTCCAAAGTTTGAAATTTCTGGAGCAGTGCAGTAAGACGCTGATCAACAGCCAAACGTCGACTGTGCTTATAGTACTTGAGAAAAGCCCAGAACTTCTCTAACCCGTACAAATGACCTGACATAAATCGTTGAAAAAATTTATTAGAACCCCAGAAGCTTATACATTTCACGCGGGCAAAAATGCTTTACCTGACTCGTAGTCTCTGATGGTTTCGTCCTGGAAGTCGGTTAAAATGTCATGACGGAAATGCGCTTCCAATCCGTAACTGAAGAATCTGAACAGACATTCGAGTCCGTACCTAAATAACGAGTAATGCATGAGTAAAATTTGTCAGGTGCACGACGTAACTGCTCACGCTTTGGCCAAGGTATCAGTAAAAAAACTAGTGGCTTACCGGGCGCCATTCGCAGCATCCTCCAACGCAAGTTTTTTGAATTCTTCATACATTCGTCGGTTGAAGTTCTCACGTAGGAAGAACGACCAGAACCGGAAAAGCGTATTCATTTCCGTGCTCTTACCGCTACCGTGTATTTTCCTCTCTGAAAAAAAAAAAAAATTCTTGAGATGAAATTTCTAGGTCATCCAGAAAAAATCCTTCGAATTCACCAGATGTTTTCGATAGAGACAACAGCTACATACAAAAGCCAAATTCAAGATATAACGATCAAATCGCCCAATGATCAACATAACAAGTGAATTTCGAACTTCAGCAGATTTGTACTGTAATGGAGACAAAACTTCGGAAGCAGATTAAAACCAGTAAATGAGAAATGAATAAAAAAACTTCGCGATCATTTCATAAATACTCAAGTTGATCAGGGATTCTTTCAACGATCTGAAAAAAAAAAATCGCTTCACAATACATTAACATGAATGTCGTTCTTTCCGAATAATTATACGACCGCAAAAAGTCCACTAGTCCATTATATTCAACGAGATATTCATAAAACTAATTGACACTAGTTCTCGAAAAATGAAAGAGACGGCGAAGAGAACGTAGGATTCTCACCTCTGAGGCACTTCGTTCGGTACTTGGAATACACCTGCTGCGTAAAACCGTTTTCCTTCAGCAGGGAATGTGACGGATGACGGAAGATCGGCAAATTGACAGGCGTACTACTAGTACTCCCGTGATCACTCGGACTCGCTTCGCTGTAATGCGGATATAATCAGTCTCAGAACACGGTCAACAATCAAATCAAATTCAAATTATTTTACCTCAAAGATGAGGCGCGAGACCGATGATGTCGCGAGTCCATGACCCAGCCGACATGTCGCTCTTCCATTGCGTTCTCGGAATATCGCGATCTCAGCTTATGTGGATGACCGATCTCTTGCTGTGGATCGCCGGCTTTCCTTACAACCGGATAAAACCTGGGCGCTCTTTCCGGATCCTTGCGAAGCTGCGGTCCGACACTTGGAAGCTTGCTTCCCTTAAGCGCTTTTTGAATGTCGTTTTCATTCTGTTCAAATTCAGATCAGAAGTTAATTCTCAATTCGACACGCTCGACATAACATTCGATACAGAAGTTTGGGGAAATAGCACATAGGACTACCTCTCCTCGTAGAAAACGCGGCATACGAGATGATTAAGCAAAATCTAAAAGATGCCACTCGGTCGTTTTAGCCCATTTACACCACTCGAATTGACGGTAACATTATGGAAAGTAAGGGTAGAGACGTCAAGGTTCATAAACGTATGACGAAAACGGATAAACCCAGAGGCTAACTGACGTTCTCAACACATTTCCGTACTCGGACTTCAGAAACAGATTTTGGCATTTGCGTTACACATTTTCACAAAATTAGGATTTCTCGGCACGATGAGCAGGTTCGACACCGACGCCTTATTGAAACGGAGTGAATTGACAATCGAGAAAAATTCAACTTCCAGGAAATTTGAATATCAAACGAAGTCCCAAATTAACCGGCCAACTACAGTGAGTAACAAATCTTAGACAGTTGAAATTTTTTTAAACACTCGAAGTTGGATCGTTTTACCGCTGGGCAAATGGTTCATGGTATGATGAATTTTCAGAAAATTGAATTTTTCGTTAAATCTGGATCAACTTTCTGTTAATCACACAACTAACCGATGACTGAGCATTTTCCCGAGCTGCCAACGACGATAAAGGAGAGGGTTCCGCTAGTGACGGGGGTGGAGGGGGAGGCGGCGGAAGACTCTTATTCTCCACTTTCGGCGGTGGGGGCTTCAGCTTGGCAAACGCTTCCTCCGAGATCACCTGAATGGACGTGTAGCGACGATCGCGAGACTCTTGCTGCTGATGAAAATCCAGCCAAGTTACTACTGAACTGCCTTCTGCTCGACGAAGACGCAGACAAGCAATATGAACGAAACCAAAACTTCACTTACGTCATTTGGATTCCAGAGATCTTCTTCATAATAGAAAAGCCCATCATTGATGGCTTTGCCGAGATCCTGAGTCATTTTAACGCGAGTCGTATGGTCGCCAGTGCGATCGTAACCGTCGTGCTTGTGCGGACGGTGACTAGCTCCGAAAGACGTCGACGTGACAGACGAACTCGCAGATGAAAAATGCCCCGACAGTTCGTCCGGCTGATGTGAAGGGTGCTGTGTCACTATCAACAAACGATTCACTTCTTCGTCCGGAAAGTCCTCGTTATCCGAATAATCTGTCCTGAAAATTCGGAAAAAAAGTGTCCGAAAAAAAGCAGCATTAGTTGACATACCCATAAAAAGGAGAAAAAAATTACCGATAACGCTTGTCTCTTATGAACACCAGCTCTAGAATGATTATCACAGAGGAATTTCTTCTACTCGATAACATGAAAACCCCGGCCAAACGTGACTTGACTAAACAGGACCATCTTTGACGAAGAAACCCGCATTAAAAATACATTTCCAATGCTCCACACAAATATAATCAACTTGAATTTTCGATTGATCAGCAATCACTTATTCCTCGTATGCAAAACGCAACAGTACTAAGTGAGTAAATCATCGTTCACTTTAATGTCAAATGAATGTCTTACCAGTCATCTGGTGGATCGAAGGAGAAGGATTTGCGCGAAGGAAAATCTTCGACATTATTCATTTCTTCGTCCAGGAGGAATACTTCCGATGACGGACCATCACGGCTCACTGATGACCGCGTTGATCCAGTTTCTGAAGCACCGTCAAGCTTTCCTTTCCGCCTTTTCGACTCCTTTGAACGCCGCTTGACTTCCTTCCAAGAATCTTCGATCACCGGGGGAGCTGATGCAGAAAGGCACGGTTCACCTGCGTTACAGAACGTGAGAAACTAGATCATCGTCTCGACGGTTATGAATCTTGAAAACTCACCCGCTGCACTTCCCGGACGGGAAAAGGGTTTCCCGGATTTCTCAGGAGTCGAAACTTCTTCTGCCACAGGAGTCAAATCACTTCGTTCAGGCAAGTTCAAATGCATTTCCTTAGACCTCCCCGACTCGTCCCGACGCCCGCACGTCTTTCTTCTAGATATTCTAGATTCTTCGATGGCATCTAAATGAAAGAAGAACATTGGCATTGAACAGGTTTACGCAAGAGGCCGCAACACGAAGTACTGTACTGACCATATTTGCTTACATTAACATCAAATTCGTGAAAAGGCGGAGTATATCTCTGAAAGCGTTTTAAAAACGGGACGAAGAAATATTGTTAGTTTCCGATTAATCAACGATACTTATTCCCGGCCAAAAAACCGAAAGTCACGAGAAAACCTGCTCGCTTCAGGTGAGAAAATACCGTACCTTTCAAGGATCGATGACGAAATGTTAGTACCGCTTTGGCAGATAACTCGTTCTGATTTTTGGTATTCTTCATTAGAAACTATTACAGCTAGGAAATAAACAGAGAGTCGAATTGGACGAGAGCCGCGAACTAACACACAAGAAATCAAAATCACATGTTATGTGAACAACAAATGAAATCCGTTGGCAAGGCCATGGATGATTCAGGTCCATAAAAATATCGAACATGTGTCCTCTCACACAAGTTCCAGGATATGGTGAACCAACCGGATGTCAGATGAAGAAACAAGCTGCTTCTTGTGAGAAATGACATTGGACTCGAAAACATGAATAACAGACAAATTCAATCGAAATTCTTTGTTTCGGGTCCTCATATACGACTATTAGGAGAAATCGTTCAGCTTATTCGATACAACTCATGACCGCAACAGCTGTGACCGCTCAGTCGACAGTGGGAACAAAGCGCAGAGCGTAAAAATTTGGATTATTGACAGGAGAACCGAGGACTAATTTCATTCACCGCAACAAGATAATTTGGTTAAAGTAAGTCCGGGACATAGAAGGGCTCGTAGCAGTAGGAACAGGTGCATGGTGAGCAATATGGCTGGTACATCCACGGATACCAATACACACCTTCGGGTTCTTGTTCCGTGTCAGCCTGCGTTCCTTCATCCTCTCCCACCAGGCTTTCGGCAGAAGGGTTTTCCTCCCCGTTTCCCGACCCCGAACCAGGCACAAACTCGGGCACGTCCGGATTAAGTGATGTCGTCACTGGGTTAGACTGCGTATCGGACTCGACATCTTCCTCGACCTTCGTGTCCTCCGCGTCAGAGCTCTCCCCAGAACTGGGAGTTGAATTTACATTCAAAGAGTCCGAACTAGGCGGGTCATCGCCGCTGCTCAAAGCACGTCCAACTGAAATCACTGGGGTCGTCGGTCCTGGTCGCACAGCGTATGTCGCTGGCGCTAAAGGCAGTGTTTGTGGTATAATCGTAGGAAGGGGGAAATATGGCACCACGTAATCGGTGGCCGACAATGACGGAATTGCTGCAGTCATTGTAGATGAATCTACCAGATATGGTGACCTGGCGGCTTGGAACGTGCTTGGCGTTGACATGTCATGGATAGGCCAACTTTTTGGATTGTTCCTCGTTCGCACCATCTGAAGTTTCAGAGCAATGAGCGAATGAAGCGTCTCGATAAGAAGAAAAGGTTAACGTTTACTCACCCTCGATCGCATTTCCAAAACCTCGGAGTCTTTAACGGCAGCTTCTACGAGTGAGACGTCTTGAGTAAGATTTTGCACTCGCTGGAACGAGGCTATCAAGTCGAGAGGAAGATATCCCTCATTGTCCATTCTTCGGCGTAAGAAGAAGTCTCGTTGTAAATTTTCTTCCGAAAAGTAATACTCGCTGCAAAAAATAAACAGCCAATATTACTCGGCTTTTCCTTCTGAAGGGAAGGGCACTCGAAAAATGCTTGTTTAGGCGATTCTGATACAACCTACACGCATACATTAATCATAGCTTTCAATCCTTGACTTCCGCGTTCAACAATAGATAGAACTTCCTGGTTGAAGATGGGCGCCAACGAAAGAGACCATCTTCAGATTTTTAATTAGTCATGTGAGATTTCAAGAGGAAAAAGTTTCATTGGTCACAACAGTCATCGATTGCGAGGTTTAAACAAGAGATTTCAAGACAGAGCACTTACATCAAGTTCTCAGCTAAGGAAGAGATAAATTCGCAGGTATGATTTAGCTACTATTCCGCATGAAGCATGATACATTTCATTTCGGTCGACTCACATTTGTTTACGAATCGCATCACGAATAGATTGGTCGTTAGGGTATTGGTATGACGGGTTGAAGTAAAGCGTAGCAACAAAAGGTGCAGCGGCAAGAAATGTCGTCGGAGCTGGTCCAAGAGGTGCCAAAGCAGGCGCAGCCGGAATGCCGTTCAAAGCGACAGCAAGCCCTTCGTATGGATGCAAGTCAGTGTAATCGTCATCGTGCGAATCGTAGTCAGACGCTGACGGACGTCCATGGGCCGAGTTGCTCCCGCTGCCCCAATGAGAACCACGATAGACACCGCGACCTCCTCTGTTTCCACGAGAGCGGAATCGTGTTGGATATCGACCTCTGGGATTTCCACGTACGGGAGGTCCGTCTTGGTTCCATCGTTCGTTTCGTGCTGCTGATGAATGGGGACGAATCGGAGGCGACGTTAGATCGTTTCCACCTCCGACGGAAGGGTCACTTCCTGCGCAACGAGACAAAAGGGAAATGCCTCAGAACAGATTTCTGATGAATCTTAAGCAATCTGACTGGAAAACAGAAAATCTTGGCTATCAAGAAGTTATTTCTCATTATAGCTGCCTCCGGAGCACATGTTTCTGCTTGTCATCAAAAATCCAAGGTATGAAAGTTACGTCAGACATGATTATTACTTGTGACCCGGATAGGATTCGATACACGGAAAATTTCGTGGCACAGTATATGCGCATAAACTGACAGATATAAGAGGGGAGAAAAACTACGAAGGAATTCGTTTCAGCGAGCGAGCTTAGGTGAGGTTGCGGCAGTCGTGGTGCGTTGAACTTCACCCGGAAAGAATCTGAACTCATATCAACTCACCATTAGGACGAGCATACGGTCGTCGTACATAACTGTCATCATAGCTGCGGTCACGTCGTCCTGATGACCGGTCAGTACGTTCTTCAGGAGATACAGTATCTGCCTGGCTAGAACCACCACGAGGGCCACCAGTCCACGGACCCGGGTTGCGGCCCCTACGCGAATGCTGACTTGGTGCGTCGATGTCCAGTCGCACCCATCGGGCCTTGGGAACTTTCCGCTTCGCACCACCTCGCCTCCCACCCTCGTCATCACTCTCCGACGGATGCACATTCTCCTTCGTCGAGTCATAATCGTCAATGGGACTCACTGAGTTCCCGTTCGTCGTAGTCATCATTCCGTCTTCATCGTCCTCTGTTTTATCGACTTTCGAATCCGCAACAGCACTAATATGTGCCTTGTTTTCCGGCAATTTTCTTTGCGTTTCAGCCTCGTCACATTTGTTTGTTCGAGTTGAAAGGTCGCATGATTTCGGTGCAAGCTCCACTGTATCGACTGACTTGGGATTTATCTGCACGTTGGCAGAGACGTTCACCTGTGGTTTAGACCAAACTGAAGAAACTGAAGTAGACGTCGGTGCAGATTTCTCAGTGTCTTCAGCAACTGAAACTTCATCAGCTGTGGCGGCCCAAGGCTTCAGCCCTCGAGAAGGAGGGGTTAAGGATCTTCGCTTTTGGCTCTAGAAAAGTAGAAGTCACGAATGATTTCGGCTATCTCAAAATACATTGCGGTAATTAGTGTAGCCACGAATTTTCCTAATACGGTAAACAAACAAGTGACATCATGGTTAGCAAATATATTTTAACATTCCACTGAAAGCTTCAAGAAACTTAATCCGGTTTCGAAATACAGTATAACGACACTGACGTTCGCCAATTCTTGAGCACTGCCATTACGTGTGCGAGAGACACCTAGCGTGACTTCTTTCAAAGCCTCGTGGAAAGCCAACAGCTGTCGTGAAACTAGGACAATCCTGGCGAAGTTACATTTTATAAGCGAGTACACAGGCATATACTGTACTTCAATAATACTCGTCGGGTTTTCTACCAATAAATCGCATACGAGCAAAAATTGCATTTAAAAATTATACCACTTAGCTTAGCACCTCGCTCATCGTCGTAATTTACAACGCTCTTATCTACGAGAACTGATAAGACGCATCCTGTTAGGCTTAGGAAACGCACGTGAAGCTTCCCAGACCAGGAAATCGTTCATACGATTTTTCAAGCGTTAATTGTAATGAAAAAAACCCCTTCCCCGTGACAAAGCAAGTAAAAGGTAATCGTGGGGACTTACGGGGACAGGTCCGACTTCTCCAAGCGCAGGCCATTCTTCCAGGGTACTTTTTTCATTCTGAAATGGGAACGAAATGAGAATTAACACGAGGTGAAGACAATATTTGAAATTGTGAACTGGTTCGGCGCACGAACAGATCCACGCAAAATATCACGAGTGCGTGCCAACGACGCGGGGCTATGTGGTTGGCTCGTACGCACATCCTAGGGTGAAGCGTTCATACGTACACTAACAACGACGCGTTCGATCCACTGAATTACTGCAGTCTTACAAAACGATGAAGAAACTCACGATTTTCTCCTTGTCTTGACGAACCTTGGCGGGACTCTCAACGCGATCCTTCTTGAGATTATCACTAAGTTTCACTACGGCGGCTGGGGGTGGGTTATCCATCTTTTTGGGCGCTGGAACTGGTGCTGGTGTTGGCTTGACTGGTTGCAGAGATTCTTTCGACGGGGGCTTACGGGACCAGGGATTCACTTTCGGCATGGGGGCTTCCACGAGCTTCGGCCTCTCTTGGGCAGACGTCGTGGAAGACGCCGACGATGACGCAGACACGTCCGGGTTCGGCATTCTGCCACAGTCCGAATCGGAACTGTCCGGCGCGCAACTCAACTGATGCCCGTTGCTCACAAGCGGTTTTTGCGCGGTAGCTGACGACTGTTCGCTGGCACTGCCGCGGAAGAACTGCGACTGAAACGGCACATCCGCGGGCTTATCGCGCGCAGTACGTTTCTCCGGAGGGAAGCGCTCCACATGGCGACGAAAACCAAGCTGGCGGCGTCCGAAACCATCGCTCCGGCCACGTTGCGACTCCTCCTTGTTTTGATGTTGATGATGGTGTTGCTGCTGCTTCTTTGCAGACTTGGTATCAACCGTATGCCATTCCCCACCGCCATCATCGTCGTCATTGCCGCGGGTTTCTGTCCCTTTTTCCTTGGCCGGGACAGGCGCCGGTACAGGCGGTGGCCCCGCAGCCGAAACTATCCGCGCGTACGACACCTTGCTTCCCCCGCTCGCCATGGCTTCCTCAAATCTTACTTATCACAGGAAGCCGCAAGCTCAGTACAGTTCAACACGTGGGCAAGTAAAGCAAACTGCGTATTTCACTCGACTTCATCGCAATTCGTCCATTTTAACCAACATAGAATTGCACGAAGTCTCCTCGCCGTCTCAATACTTAGCACTACGTTCAGTAACGGCGGGACTCCTGCGAATCCAAAATCAGATATAATTAACACATCAAGTCCATCATGAAAACCCCAATGGAGAAAACCTACGCAACGAAGTAACACTGGATCATACACGAGAACGACAGAGTCGACGCCATTCTCATCGAAACGAAATCAGGTTAAACACAATTTTGACGTAAGGAACATTCCAGGAGAGAGTACGGTCCATTCGAACAATTTCGCTGACTCATGAAAAAACTCTTGAATGATTGAGACTTGCGCATCAAAACTGAAATTAAAATACTTTTTGAAGTGATGAACCTTCAACGCTTGCGACGCAGCAGAGTAGCCTTAAGGTGAAGTTGTTTTAACATAACTTTCAACATTCTTGCATTTCGATTCAACTCCTGATGATCGAGCCCTCACAACAATTCAACAATCTAATTCACGACACAACTTCACACCATGACAGCCTTCACAGTCACACTGAAACCATGGACCCCACACTTGAAAAAAAATAGCTATCAATTAAGATGAAATCCCGACGGAACAGTTTCCTTGCACAGTAATTACACGGAACAGGAACGTCCTTCGTGAAAAAGTTCGTCATACAGTACTTAGAATTGCAGGACTTCTTAGTCGGCTGTTCGTGTACAAGTGCCCGTGGTTTATAGGCACATGTGAAAGTGAAGCACAAGAAGGTCTCCCGAAGAAAATTTAAAACGAATATATTCAGCGGAGGAAAAGGTGAACTCGGGATGAGAAAACAGATGACAAATTATCTCAAGTTGGATGTAAATCTAAACTACCAGTCGTTCGACTTGAACTATAGTTTAGACCACTGGTGGAACTTGGTAGAGTAGTCAGGAGGTATATGTCCGTAATTGCGGCCACGCTTTGACAGTGTTACTTTCAAGAGAAGGTCGAACATCCACGCGGTAGAACACACAAACATGCCTGCATCACAAATGTAAGCCCAATGGAAATTCACGAAAACCCCAGCATCGCACACCGACATAAAATATGAACAAATGAAGCTGACCTCTCACCAGACTACTAGAGCTAAAACTTAGCACGGCATTTACGCGAACGCGTTCTGGTGTTTTCCCGAACATTCCGGTCAACAAGACCCGGCCGCCAGTCACGTCACGAGGCTCGAACGGACCCGCAGAAACTGTCTCCTTGAGCCGGTCTTCCATCGCCACAACGATTGTCCGAACCAATCAACAGTACAATAAACGAAGGAAAAACTTCACTTGTTAATCGACGCGTCCGAAACGTAAGAATAAAGGGATCAACTGATCAAGCTTAGATGCCCGAATTCGAGGGAGGGATAACTGCGAGCACCGCCGCTACTCCGTGTGCCACAGCGCGACTAGGGGAAGATTCAGGGCCATCTTGCAACGTCACCGTGGCGCGAGGGGCAGACGACCATGTCTCCCAGCCGCTTCCTCATTTAGCCGGCTTTCCCTGCGCTCCCTCCCCATGAGTCGCGCCAGCCCCCGGACGCTACGCCAAAACACAGACACGCCGCATCTTGAATCATTCAACCAAAGGAAGTCACTGTACCCCTGTACCGTAATCGGGGTCACGGCAGGTTACAATTTAATTCTTTTTTTTTACAAGAACAGTTTCACAGCGTTCAATACATGAATAACACCAATAATTATATTCGGTATGCGAAGTGTTTGCTGAAATGTTCTTACATTTAGAAGGATTAATCCCCTTTGAAATAGCACAATACAACTCACTGCGAACAGGACAATACAGTATTGTGCTTCAACAGTCACTGCAGAACAGCACCGCATTGTCAACATCAAGATATTGTTTGCTTCGCTTTGCTAATCAAAATCAAAGCTCGAGACATGGAAAATAGGCAACATTTTTCTTTTCAAATATAGCCGACTGTAAACTATTGTCAAACCCGTCGGTCTCGTAAAATAGTGTACAAAACTCTTTTCTTCCATCAGATAAAGGATAAAAGTGTCGGCCTATTCTTTTTACCTTACTTTTTAAGTTCTGACTAAACTAAGTTTTTTAATTAGTCTTGAACTGGCTAGATGTAAGCTGCAAGATAATCCTGCGAGTGATTACATACTGATGAAAAGAGGCAGACCAAGTAAAAGTTTTGTTCTCACACAAGTGAATGAACATTTTTTTTCTCAACAGTATTTCCACAAGCATGTCAGTCGTACAGCTATAGAAATGCTGCAAAAAAGAGGAAAATTCCATGAATTTGCTGCAAGCGAAACGCGATCGTAATTGGTTAGGGAATCTAACTCCTTGCCATGGAAGTGGGGCTGATTACAAGGAGAGCGTGCGCCATGCGACTATTCTTCCACGGTTCGTCAGTTCATTGCCGTTCCGCGCGTCTCTCCCCCAACGCGTTGCATCGCTGTCCCACTCTCCCGCCCGATACCCACGCTATCATTCCTCTCCCACACGCCGCCGCTCTTTACCGACGCATTTTCGTCGCGCGGGATTGCACGAGTAAACACGCTGAAGAACAGTCTATGAAACTGCGTTTTATGAAGAGACGGTGGGGAAGAGACCCGCGCATGAATAAATCGAGGACCGACGAAAGCGCGTACGCACGTGATAGTAACCGTTTCGTCGCCTTCTCCCCTTGTCCTCCCATTTCCCCATCCCCGCTGAGCAAAGGGCTACCCCGCGAAAGAAAGCTTGCGACACAGGCAGTTTTCGGGGTTCTGGGCTTCCAAGTTAGCCTTTTCTCCCATTCCTTCCACTCCCCCTCCTTTACTATACCGTACACTATAGTGAGTATACGCCCGCGAGTCCCTTTTCAGACATGCGGACATTCCTGGGGACCCAATGCGGATCGGACCGGCATCCACCAGGACCAAGGAAACTACGCAATACGCCGGCTTACGTTACTGACAACAGAATTTCTGCTCGTCAGCGGAAGTTGAACTTCATAACATTTCCGAGTCTTAGTTCGACATTTTCCAAAGCAAAGTCATTCCAATTATTGAGTTAATTAAATTTTGTGATGAAAATCCTTACTTATTGTGCTCATGGCTTGACATTTCCTAGTCAAGATTTAATTAATGATACAGTATTTGTACATTGTCTTCTTATTTCCTTTCTAAAATGCAAGCAATTCAGCATAGCCCAGGGAAACACAAGGTACCACTGCAAAAAGCCATTGTAATTCAAATACGGTATTTACTGCAGTACCATATAATGCCGATGTATATTCCAAACGGCTGATGTAAAAGTCCAGTTATACTCGAGATTCCGCGCCGTCGGAGGCTGAAAATCGAAAGCCCCTCATTCAACTCAATCTGAGCTAAGCTAATTTTCCTTCCTTCAATCTGTGAGATTAGAAAAGCGTCGAACTAAACTCCCATTTCCCCATCCCCGCTGAGCAAAGGGCTACCCCGCGAAAGAAAGCTTGCGACACAGGCAGTTTTCGGGGTTCTGGGCTTCCAAGTTAGCCTTTTCTCCCATTCCTTCCACTCCCCCTCCTTCTTTACTATACCGTACACTATAGTGAGTATACGCCCGCGAGTCCCTTTTCAGACATGCGGACATTCCTGGGGACCCAATGCGGATCGGACCGGCATCCACCAGGACCAAGGAAACTACGCAATATGCCGGCTTACGTTACTGACAACAGAATTTCTGCTCGTCAGCGGAAGTTGAACTTCACAACATTTCCGAGTCTTAGTTTGACATTTTCCAAAGCGAAGTCATTCCAATTATTGAGTTAATTAAATTTTTTGATGAAAATCCCTACTTATTGTGCTCATGGCTTGACATTTCCTAGTCAAGATTTGATTAATGATACAGTATTTGTCCATTGTCTTCTTATTTCCCTTCTAAAATGCAAGCAATTCAGCGTAGCCCAGGGAAACACAAGGTACCACTGCAAAAAGCCATTGTAATTCAAATACGGTATTTACTGCAGTACCATATAATGCCGATGTATATTCCAAACGGCTGATGTAGAAGTCCAGTTATACTCGAGATTCCGCGCCGTCGGAGGCTGAAAATCGAAAGCCCCTCATTCAACTCAATCTGAGCTAAGCTAATTTTCCTTCCTTCAATCTGTGAGATTAGAAAAGCGTCGAACTAATCTCTAACTAACGTCACCTACTACTGCTGTACTGTATCAAGGAATCCTAAAGCCAAGTCTTCTCAGATTAACCAATAAAGGCCGTTTCTCTGCGTTACCCTTCACAATATTTTTTTGAAATACTACACGCTGAAAAAAAAAATCTCTGAAGTTTAGTGGGCCGCATCTGAGCGACACTAGCTCCTAGGACAGAACCCATGGCTTAATCCGAGATAATCGTTCATTCTCAATTCAAACAACGAAATTTGTATAAGAATTGAGTTTATAACGTACAGTAGTTTAGAATTTTTTTCAAGGAGCTTCCGATGTCACTGAAGTGGGCGGTAACTTGAGAACTCCGAAGAATCCGCTTCCGGAATCCTTTTGCGCATTTACAAGACTTACGCATCGCTCGTCCTTCAGGATACAGTACTAATCATAACTTTGAAAACATCCATAAAAATCCCTACCCGGGTTACTCAGCATGACTATTCGAAACAACAATATAAACAGGGAAAAAGCACCGGAAATAATTTTCAAGTAGAAATAAGTTTCGTATGAATGAATATGAATGTGTCACACCATGATTTAGTGCTACACTGGGGTTTTTCCTCCGGATTGGCCAATTCAGTCGTGCAGTTCGTCGAGTTCTACAATGTCTACATCACGAGAATCGCTAATCCTGTGAGCATCGGAAGCAGGAATCAACTTGAGAAGCATGGAAATCTTGGATTGAAGTCAGTCATGCTTGGCCATACTGTATACTGCAAAGGCGCCTGGATTTTATCCATTTTGAAGCGTACCGCACTACAGAAACACTTTCTCGATTACCAGCGCTATCGCAAGAACCAACCTTATCACAATGATATTCGGCGCCCGGTTCTCTTCAAAAGCTACACGCAACCCGGCTTGATCATCAGTGCAAAATAGTGCATACAAATGTCGATTTTCTATGGAAGGGTTTATGGGGAAAATTCTTGAAAATAGTCATTCCTCTTTCTGCAGAATGGTATGTTAAGGGTCTTGTATTAATGGCTGATTTGACAAATTTTACAGATGCATACAATTTATTATTGTTACTGAATGGTATACCACCATATCCTCTTGCATAACTATCCTTTATTACTCTCATCATTCTTTCATAAAACCACCCCCCCCCCCTTGGGGCTCTTGCGGCATTGAAGTGCCATTTTGTTCTTTTGAACGTTCTTTTGATTTTTGCTTGATATTGCTCATGATTCATAATTTTTCTACATGCCACATGGAATGTTTTTGCATTGTCTGATATTATTGATCTCAGGTTAATTTCTCTGCTATAACAGAAGGTTTTAAAGGCTCCTATAAAGTGTTCTAGGTCTACCTTTTTTACTATTTCTAAATGAAACGCCGCGGGATCAAGAGTAACTCGGCTTAAAATAATGCTACTTCTATTGTTCCGTCAAAATGGCAGATTTACGTAGACAGCCAATTTATTCGTCCCCACAGAATCGAGATTCCGCAAGAACCAACCTTATCACAATGATATTTGGCACCCCGTTCTCTTCAAAAGCTGCACGCAAGAACCAACCTTATCACAGATTATAGAAATACAATACAGCACTGTAGTTGTTCATTCCAAGCAAGGCTCAAGAGAAATTGGAACCTGAAGTTACTAAGCATGAAACAAGTGTGTTTCTCGTAAGAAATCATGTGATCACGTATCACTCCAATTCCAACAAATTCTTGAATCGCTCTAGAATTGTCCCGACAAAACTGTTTCGTCTGTTCATTTTACACAGATTTAATAAACGCACGTTAACAATTCAAAAAAGCATCCAATTTGTTCAATAAAGATTATATCTTGGTGTAATTTTAGTCTGCCTCTTCAACAATTCGATAGTTAATGAGCTTTCCAGGTAGGGGAAAAAGTATTTTTGTTGGATGGGGGGAGAAGAAAGAATGGCACGAAATCGTGCTTGATATTTTGGTCCATAAATTGATTCGTAAATTATTTGACACTTAGCCAGGACGCTGAACTGGGAGACGAGGGTTCATTTGTCCTTTCAATCTTTCACTTCCTCTCAAAGCACCGGTTACGTTTCTTCAGCTTTTCTCTTTCCTGCTGTGTCAATACAAGGCTTC